CCATCAGCCCAGAGCCCGACGCGGGGCTCGAACTCACGGACCGTGAGATCGTGACCTGGTTGAAGTCGGACGCTTAACCGACTGCGCCACCCAGGCGCCCCCAAAGAAGAGATTTTTATGTGTTCTGTTTTTGTGTATGTGAATGGTGGAGGGCAGTAGTTCTGCATTAGAAAATTTAATCAGCCTACCTCGGTTTCTCACCCAAAGAGATTTCTTTTTTAAAAAAGAAATTAGGACCATTTAAGGATATTGTCTTATATTTATGATTATTTACTTTAACCCTTACAAGCAGCCCCATGAGGTAGGGTCAATTGTTATTTTCACTTTACGTATAAGGAAATTAAGGCATAGAGTTTAAAGTCATAGTCAACTTTTTACACAAATTCTTAATGATATTGAATGTCCAATGTAAAGTTATTTCAAAGAGATCACTGCAATATCAAAATAAAATTTTGTCTCATTTGGTTTAAGTGTTAAATATATTTTACTATAACTCATTGAAAACTGGTTACTCTATAGACCACATTACTTTCAGATAATCTGGGCAATCAGAATCCTCCATTAATTGATCAGACCAGATGTCAAAATTCGGGCCATGTCAACTTCTGCATTTTTTACGCTGTGGTTACTAGCAACCATTATTTTAAGGATGGTTTACGCTCAGACAATGTTTCTCAGTGGTGTTACTAGCATTTTGAGGGAAATGCTCCTTTGTGCAGTGGGTATACCAGTTATTGCGATGCCTTTAGTTCACATGCGGACCCTCACTCGCTAAATAATGTCTTTCCCCAGTCATAATTTGCAGTACTCCCTAAGCAACCTTGACAACCACTGAACTACTGAAGGACGGATAAATTAACTCCTGCAGCGAGTAACTTATGTTAATGTACCTTATACCAGTAGTTAATAGTGTCTTTTGTTAGTGTGATACTCAGAAGTGTTTGGAATTATATTTGAGTAGTGTTGCCAGAGTTAGCAAATGAAAATACAGGACACCTGATTATCTGGTAACTCTATATTAGAGATAATATAATGCTAGTGTCCTATCCTGGTGTCTCTTTAACTCACCGACTCCAGATCACTAACAAATTGGAAACTCACTTGTTTGAGATGTAGAAAAGCATGTGTGAAGTGACACATCTTATATTTCAAATTTGTAGTGGCTAAAGGAATACTTTCATCAAATAAAAATCTAATTTATATTGACAAAGAATCTGTTGAATGCACGTAAAAACAAAATACTGATGGACATTTATATTTATCCTGCTACAGGTGTTTGATGTTGTTCATTCTTTAACTACAATATAATTAATAAGTTCCACAATTGCTTATTTATTTTGTTGTTGTTGTTGTTTTGTTTGTTTTTAAATCCACTATAGTTTACATACAGTGTAATATTAGTTTCAGGTGTACAATACAGTGATTCAACACTTCCATACAACACCCAGTGTTCATCACAAGTGCACTCCTTAATCCCCATCACCTATTTCACCCGTCGCCCCACCCACCTCCCCTCTGATAGCCATCAGTTTGTTCAGTACAGTTAAGAGTGTGTTTCTTGGTTGGTGTCTCTCTTTTTTCTTTGCTACAATTACGTATTAAAAAAATAAATAAATAAAGACAGCGAGGGCCAGCAACTTAAGCAGTAGAGCAAACCAGACTAAAATTACTTCATATCAAATCCCAGAAGGTTCCTGAACTTAATTTCTTGTAGATTAAGAGATAAGGGAATTATAACAAATAAATTCAGCTTCATTATTCAATTGTGAAAACAGAGCTATAATGTTTCATGCAATCTCTATTGACATGACTGACCCTAAGGAGGAAACTGATAAGGCATTATTAT